TCTTTTTTTTTTTTTTTTTTTTTTAGCAGAGATGGAGTCTCATTATGTTGCCCAGGCTGGTCTTGAACTCCTGAGCACAGATGATCTTCCTGCCTTGGCCTGTCAAAGTGCTGAGATTACAGGTGTGAACCACAGTGCCTGGCTGTCTCAACATAATTTGACTTGAGGTATCACCTAGACAAAAGCCGTTTTCAACCTCCTTTATGAATTATAATGTGCAATATATTTGGGAAATACTGATCTAGGCTCATTTTATCCAAGGTTATCAAATTCAGTGGGAAAAGGCCCATAATTTAATGGAAATCTCAGGAAAATACCTCCCACTGACCCAGCATAGGTTATATGTCACCTGACCTCCAAACATATTCCCCAGAAGGAGAGAATTGACAAGCAAAGCCCAGGCATTCTCAACCCCAGCATGTGAAGGCTGGTCAGCTCCAATAAGTACACTAGGAATAAAATTCGGAGTGAGAACATCCTAAAAGTGGAAAAGGAAATTTGGAAATCGGACAGTGTGAGGAGTATCAAAATAGATTCAGTTGGTTAAATATTTGGGAAGAATTATTATTGCTATGACTTTTGTTAGTATTTTCCCTTTTGTCTGTTTTTTTGTTCATTTATATTATACTTTCAGAAAATATCAAGATTGTATTCATCATTTCTGAGAAAAATCTTAAATTTATTTTTGGGGATAAGTACCTTGTATTCTGAATCAAAGGGTTTACATTAGGACTCATCGCAGTTTTTAATTTTTTATGTATGCTTTTTTCAATATTTTTAAAATTCATATGAATTCTTAGAGTGTTTACTCTCATGTAAAATTTTTTGTACATGCAGAGAACTTGACTAATTTCTCCCTTAACTTGTGAATGATAGAATTATCATCCCTGTTTAAAAGTCTTCTCTGAAGTTCTATTCAATGTAAGAAGACAAATTAAGAATTAATGCAAGGCTATATTAGAAAGCAATCAAAGATAATTATTTTAATACTTTTCTATTTTTAAACTGTGCTGTAAAAACTTATAACTCAAGAGGTTAGGGTTGTTCACTGCCTGCACCTTTCAAAGTTTGGGAACGTGCCCTAGACCAGCTCCTACTGGGTAACCTGTGAGCTCTGATATTTCTGTCTGATAAGAACGTTTTGTGTACCTATGAATTTGGTCTCACTAGATGATTCATGGTAACAATGAGATTTATGGTAAAAATGCATTTTTGTATGACTGGGGCTGTATCCAAGCTAGGTCAGTTTCGCTTTTTAGATATAGAGTCAGAAGCTAATATCAGGAATGTGAAAGCTCCATCCCTGTATCAGCAAGGCTTGGAAGAGTTTACCTGGTTGGCAACACTTTGCTAATGTGGACACACACCTGGCTGAGAGAATTAAGTGCAGTGCATATGACTCTACCAGAAGAGGATGATGGAGAGCTTGAGCCTGTTTCCTCCCGGAATCCTCACTATGCTCCTTTTACCCTGGCTTATTTTCATCTATGTTCTTGTACTGTAATGTACTGTAAGTATCAGCACAAAGGCCTCTGTGGGTTCTGCTGAGATCTTATGAGGGATTATGGAACCTGAAGCTGGCTTTGAAGTACCTCAACAGGCTCATGAATAAATGATGCCCAATGTGGACATGCTTTTTAAGTAACTATAATAATATGGGAACTACTAAATGAGTGTGGAGGAGTTCTCACTTCAACTGCCAGAGTGTTGCACTGTATCCTGAAAAAAATTTGCTGTGGTATCCTTGAGGTCATACTCTTTGTACAACATGCCATTTAATTCTCAGAGAACAAAATTTTTGTTTCCAAAGAGCAAATACGTAGCAAGGAGTCCACCTTTGGGACTTTGGGAATGAAACAAGACAATGGGTTTAGAAAAAGTATTTCAATTATATTAAGAGAGTATGGATTCCCAACTTTAGAAAGATAGACTTTTCTATACCAAAGAAGGCAATATCAGTATGTATCACTGGAGCTGGCTTTGAGTTGTATTAGGCCATTCTTGCATTGCTATAAATAAATACCTGAGACTGAGTAATTTATAAAGAAAAGAGGTTTGATAGTCTCATGGTTCTGCAGGCTTTACAGGAAGCATGATACTGGCATCTACTTGGCTTCTGGGGAGGCCTCGGGAACTTAAAATCATGATAGAAGGAGAAGTAGGAGCAGGCGTGTCACATAGCAAGAGCAGGAGGAAGTGAGAGAGTGGAGGAAGAGGTGCCACACATTTTTAAATGACCAGATCTTGGGAGAACTCACCATCATGAAAACAGCACTGAGCTATAAGGGATTCACCCCCATGATCCAAACCTCTCACCAGGCCCCACCTCCAGCATCAGGGGTTACATTTCAACATGAGATCTGGGCAGGGACAAATATACAAACTATATCAGAGCGGAGCAAAAGTTCCATGCTCCTTTCATTTGACTAGAGACATAGGGACAGCCACTTTCTTTTTTCTTTTCTTTTTTTTTTTTTGAGATGGAGTCTTGCTCTTGCCCAGGCTGGAGTGCAGTGGCACGATCTCGGCTCACTGCAAGTTCCGCCTCCCGGGTTCAGGCCACTCTCCTGCCTCAGCCTCCCGAGTAACTGGCACTACAGGAGCCCGCCACCATGCCCGGCTAATTTTTTGTATTTTTTACTAGAGACGGGGTTTCACCATAGTCTCCATCTTCTGACCTCGTGATTTGCCTGCCTCGGCCTCTCAAAGTGCTGGGATTACAGGGGTGAGCCACTGTGCCTGGCCGGGACAGCCATTTTCTGTATCTCCCATGAGTTTGGAGAAAATACATGCCAGAATGCCAACTGTCTCAAAAGAGTCTTTCCTCTTTTTACCAGCTCAACTCTTTTATATCACTCACTTAAACAATGTGCCGATGCCTGCAGAACCAATTTGGGTCCAGTGCCTCTGCAGATCATCCAGCACCTGAGTTTAGAATATGGGGTTTTGGCATTTGTTGTTTAGGCCTTTGGAGTCTGTGGCCAAACTCCATTTGAGAGGATATGTCACTTGCAACATCCAGTTCAGCCCATGTTTTCAAGGCTAGGTCTAACCCACAGAATGCTCACTGAAAAACTTTTAATTATAGACATTACGGGTACAGGTCTCATCCATCCCAACAGGTGAGGAAATAGGTCTGGAACAACTGCAAAGCAGTGGTGACTGCATACTGCTGGGTGATCTGATTCACATTCCAGAAAAGGTTCACTTGCAAGAAGAACATGTGGCTGGCACCTCCACCTGGCCTGAAATCTCCAACTCATCCTGCTGAGGAGTAGAAGCTTGGAATCTGCCTCTTTTGGGTTCTAATACTGAGCTCTGTTTCCTATTGGTCTTAATGCCTCTGGAAAGTTATTTTATTCTGAGTATTTTCTTTTATGGTAGATGATACATATTTTAATAACTTATGCAATGAAGCTGAAATAAGTTGAACAACATAAAGAGTTAGTAAAACTCCTGGTACTCAACCTATTTAGCTCTCAGTGCTAGTTACAGTAAGCAAAGATCACCTTCAGTTGAAAGTGTTCAAAGGACAGAGGGTGGGCTAGAGCAGTGGTTCACAAAATGTCATCCTTACCCAGCATCAGTGTTACAGCCTGGGATCTGCACAGAAACGAAACTTTCCAGGTGGGCAGTCACCCATGGGACCTGCAAAGGCTCTGCTAGCTGAGAATTCTATCCTTAAAAAAGGAACAAAAACAAAATTAAGTGTTTTCATGATTCTCACTAGTTACAGCACAGCAGGCTTCTTAGCCAGCATACTCATACTTTTCCTCACAGTGGAGCACTGGTTCCCTGAGGGCGGTCCTTGAGCAGCACCACCTGTGCACTTGTTAGAGATGCAGTTTCTCAACACAACCTATCCTCACCAACATAACAGCAAATTGAATTTGAAGTAGGGACACCAATCTAAATTTATTGAGTCTTCCATGGAACCCACTGTCTGTGAAGATGTGAAAATGATAATGAACCACTGCTACTCATTTCATCCTTTAAAATGATTTCTCCATTAGATAACTGAAAAACAATTGAGGTCAGCACAGTGGCTTATGCCTGTAATCCCAGCACTTTGGGAGGTGGAGGCGGTCGGATCACCTGAGGTCGGGAGTTCGAGACCAGCCTGGCCAACATGGTGAAACCCCATCTTTACTAAAAATACAAAATTAGTCGGGCATGGTGGTGGGCACCTATAGCCCCAGCAATTCAGGAGGCGGAGGCAGGAGAATGGCTTGAGCGCAGGGGGTGGAGGTTGCAGTGAGCCAAGATCGCACCATTGCACTCCAGCATGGGCGACAGAGATTGTCTCAAAACAAACAAACAAAAAAAAACAGAAACAGTTTTTCTTTCTTTTCTTTTTTTTTCTTTTTTCTTTTTGAGACAGTTTCGCTCGTTACCCTGGTTGGAATGCAATGGCGCGATCTCGGCTCACCACAACCTCCACCTCCCAGGTTCTCCTGCCTCAGCCTCCCAAGTAGCTGGGATTACAGGCATGTGCCACCACGCCCAGCTAATTTTGTATTTTTAGTAGAGATGGGGTTTCTCCAGGTCAGGCTGGTCTCCAACTCACGACCTCAGGTGATCTGCTTGCCTTGGCCTCCCAAAGTTCTGGGATTGCAGGCGTGAGCCACTGCACCCAGCCAAAACAAAGTTTTTCAGTCATGGATTATGGATAAATTGAGGTGAGGTGCTATCAGGACAATAACTGTTTTCAAGCTCCCTAGCAAATCTAGTTTGCATTACATTTGAGAAACATTGCCCTAGATCCAGCTTGCCCAACTATATTAAATGCAGTGGGAAAGGTCCTTGTCTTTCCAGAAATCTCAAGAAAAGACCTCCCACAGATATAACACAGGTTATATGTCACTCCAAGTACAAGTACTTTCCCAAAAAGGAGAGGACCTATTGATGCAAGTCAGACATTTTATCCATGGCATGGAAATAGTTGTCAATTGCAAGTAAAATAATTTTAATAACATTTGGGATGAGACTTTTTTTTTTGGGATGGCGTCTCGCTCTTGTCACCCAGGTTGGAGTACAGCAGCACGATCTCGGTTCACTGCAACCTTCGCCTCCCGGGGTCAAGCAATTCTCCTGCTTCAACCTCCCGAGTAGCTGGGATTACAGGTGTGCACCACCACACCTGGCTAATTTTTTGTATTTTTAGTAGAAACTATCTGGGGCACACCAGATAGTTTATGCTAAATATGTGTTTCAGTGCTAAATATCTGCTTTTGTATGTCTGGCACTTTAGGACATGTATCATTTTGACCTCTGTGGGGGCTGGAACTGAGTAGCAAAGGTCAATGATCCAGACCCTCCATGGTTCTATGACCAAGGCTGGTAACACTTTGCATGTGCTGTGTCACATATCACGTGCTGGAAGAATTAAACACTGTTCATATAACTCTGCAGGGAGAGGATAGCTGGAAGCTTCAGTCTGGTTTCTTCTGGACTCTCTCCCTATGTGCCTTTTCCCTTTGCTGATTTTAATGTATACCCTTTTGCTGTAAAACAAAAACTGTAATTATGAGTATAATAGCTTTTGTTTTATTCTTTGTTATTTATTTTTATTTTTGGACATGGGGTCTTGCTCTGTCACTCAGGCTGGAGTGCAGTGGCATGATCATAGTTCACTGCAACCTCAAACTCCTGGGCTCTGGGAATCCTCTCACCTCAGCTTCCCAAGCAGCTAGGCCTGTAGATGCAAGTCATCATGCCCAACTTATAATAGCTTTTCTGGGTTCTGTGAATTATTCTAACAAATCATCTATCCTGAGAGAGTTCTTGGGGATCCCTGGTACACCAAAGAATAAATGATGTCCAAATGTGAACACACTTTACCTAATTCAAATAACATGAGAGTTACTTAAAATTTCCAAACTGTTGCCTGAAATCCAGAACATCATCTGCAGAGGTATCCTTGACCCCATGTTCCTGGCTTAAATATGCCATGATAGTCCAGAAAAATAACATCGCAATTTCCAAAGATTAGGGCTGTAGCAAAGAATCAACCTTCTGGAGTAAAGCAAGGCATCAGATTTAGAAGATATTTTTGACTAATGGAGTTTTATATATCAAGGAGGCCAATATCGACCAATTCATTGAGTAATTGAACATAGCATTCCTTTTGATCTGCTTGGTTTATGCAGGCCAAGTGTAACTGGGGAGGGATTATCTTCACTTAAGCCTCCTAAATTGAGGTCTCAGGAAGTGTAATTCCCCAAGGTAAAATGGAATGCAAATTTTCAACACAATGTCATAACCAACCAAAATCCCAGGAGGGATAATACTTACTTTGCTGTCTTGTTATTCAAGGATCCTTACCTGACTACTCAAGTTTGGAGACTCCAGGGAAGTCAGTATCTCTTCATTCTATCATTCAACGGAAACTTGTTTGTGCAGACAAAAAGCACACCTTTGACAGCTTTAGTCCTTTCTGCATTGAGAAATTCCTGTTTGTTTTTCATGCTTAGGGAAACATTCAAGGAATGTTTTTCAGACCATTTTAATGGAATATAGCATAAAGGCTAAGAGTATAGTCTCTGGACCCATATTGTCTGGATTCCAATCCTACATGCACTAATTACTACTTGTGTTAATTTGGGTATGTTTCTTACCTTTTCTAAGCCTTATTTTCTTCATCTGTAAAATGAAGATCACAGTATTCACCCTTATGGTGTTTTCGAGTACTATTGAATCAATCCAGGTAAAACACTTAGTACCCAGAAAATAATAATCACTCAATAAATGTTAAATATCATTGTCATTATCATTATCATTAGTCAATCTTCATTTTAATCTCAGTAGCACTTTTAAAGATTTTGATCCTGTAACTGCTATGACATGTCTTCTAAATGTCATTATATATTTTAGCTGCCTTTTCCTGGTCTCATTTTCATGATCAATCTCCTTTACTAGGGCAGTAAATGATAAATACACCATGCCTCAATCCCAGGACACCAATTTCTTCTTGTGTTCTTCACAGTTGTCTTGAGAAGTCTGGTTTATTTCCACCCTTCAGTTGGCAGTTTACATACTGGTAACTCCCAAAATTTATCTCTCTGTCACCAACCCCTATTCTGAACTCCACATCTCAGTATCCAATGGGAATTCTTGCCATCTCCACCCAGTTGAATAAAAGGCATTCTAAAATCATATGAATAATACGTAAATGCAAAAATGAGATTTTTATCTCTCATCTCTGTTTTTCTCATACTCACTGCTATTTCTGTGATTGCGGTCACCAAGCCATTTCCTTATGCGAGCCAAAATCTAGGGGTCAAGATTAATACACTCTCTCACCTATTGTATCCAATCCATTACAAGGTCCTATATAATTCTCATATATTTCCATATGTTAGCATCTCAACTGTGAAGACACCAATGGTCAAGTATATATTAAACAACCTTGCACCTACAAGATTGATAAACATTAAACTTTGAAAATCTCCTCATATTCTAAGAATTACTAAGCCTGATTGCTGTCAGTTTCCCAAATTACTATGCTACAGGCATTCATATAGCAGTTAATGTTAGTTTCTAAACAAAATTGATAATTATGCTGTTATAGACATTTGGTTTTTAATAAAAATTATACATGAGCTATAAAAACATAACAAGATTACATGTCACTAAGAACTGATTTGGTTTCCACTAACGAACTATAAGCAGTTACAACTAGATTTTGCGACTTCTTTAGTCACTTCTTTTAATGCATGAGCACTCCAGTTAATTATTGAGTTGACTTCATTTACATTTTCAGTGTCTGTCAAAAGGAATATCAACCATGTGTCTCAATAATTCAATAAATAAAGCACGTGACAAAGTTGAGTTTGGATTTTAAGTATAGATTTTATTTAAAAATTAAACTAATAATTTCATGTGAAACACAAAATTAGCTAAACATTAAATTAAATTCCTTAATCTGGGGATATCTTGAAGGCACATTGACTTGTAGCTATACTGAGGAAAAGAATGTAATATATGACGCAAATTTAACTCAAATTTATGTTCAAATGACATGATATTTCAGGATTATTGTAATGCAATAGAAAACTTTTTAATATCTCTTATAACATTTGTCATTCTGATAGTTTAGAAAGCCAGGATTACATAGTTCTGTTAACTCCTTCAAAGGATATTAACATCTTTCATTAAATGAAGGAAGGACAAGGAAAAATATGAATTTGACATCGAACATTATAGCACAAAGGTTGAAATGGCTTAGTGGATGAACTTTTCTGATCATTGGTTAAATTAACATTATCTAGACTGTTCTGAATCTGGTGATTTCAGATTTTAGAATCCTAGAATCTCAGTAGAACTACAAATATCCAGCCTAACTGCTTAACTAGTAAAATAATCTGTTTGTAATCTTTCTAAAGCATGGTACCACTTCTACCAATGCCTTTAAAAACAATACTTTATGGGCCCAAATCACCAAAAAAAAAAAAAAAAATCTATATTCTGCCATCTGGTTTCCAATTGTCTTTCCAAAATTATTTCCTACGGTTTTTTTTTTTTTTTTCTCACACACTCCATGTCCCAGACAACAAATTACCAAGTATTCCCTGAACATATACAGAGTCTTCACACCTCAATAGCTTTGTCTCAACTCTTCAGTAATGCCATCTCATCAACCCCAAATCTAAGTCATCTGTCAAGGTGTCGTTCTGATATCATGTCAAGACTTCATCATGAAGTCACACCAGACTGCCATATATGACAGTAATTTCTCCCTCCTCTAATGTTCCATCATACCCAGTGACTCATTTAAGTACTCACCACACTCTAATATGCATTAAAATTATTTATGCAGAATTCTTAAAATTTAAAGTATTCTTTAAGCAGAACCCTCTTTTGATTTATCATTTGTTTCCCTTTTAACACTGTTTCACTCACTGATTGTTAATTCAGTGAATAACTGTCTCACTGACACAGAAAAGGGCAACATTTAAGTGAACTTCAAAGGGAACTGTCACTCACTGATTTCATTTTATTTTTATTTTATTTTATTTATTTAATTATTTTGAGACAGAATCTCTCTCTGTCACCCAGGCTGGAGTGCACTGGCACAATCTCAGCTCACTGCAACCTCCACCTCCTGGGTTCAAGCAATTCTACTGCCTTAGCCTCCCAAGTATCTAGGACTACAGGTGTGCACCACCATGCCCAGTTACTTTTTGTGTTTTTAGTAGAGATGAGGTTTTACCATGTTGGCCAGGCTGGTCTCGAACTCCTGACCTCAAGTGATCTGCCCACTTTGGTGTCCCAAAGTGCTGGGCTTACAGGCATAAGCCACCATGCTCGGCCGCTGATTTCATGTTAATAAATGTAAGTGTTTCTTTGCTGAATATAAAGTGTAACTCTTATAATATATTTAGATTGCATTTAGAAATCATCATGCATCAGATTCAGAATGGTGAAACAGGAGCCACAATGTAATTGCCAAAACAATAACATAGTTTAATTCTTTATCCTTACTCTTAAAAGACCACTGAAAGAGATACAATCATAATGACCTAAGTAATGGAGTAATGTATTTAGATTTTTATCTGATCTTGGCAAGTGCAATATTTCATTCATTAATGTATTTAGGGAAAAACCCTATATTGTTAAAGTTGTACATTATTTTCCTATGGAAGAAGGCCTAGTACAAAAATGAGGAACAGAATATTTTTCAAAAAAGTGGTGTTTCCCTGCCTTTTCCTACCCCGCTGACCAATTTGCTCCACAAATATCTATTTTGAAATGTGTGTGGTTTGGTCCTAATAAGGTTACCTTCTCATTAACCAAAATGACTCCAAAGGGCATGGGGAGGAATAAAGAACAATGCAATCATAACAGAATTTCGGAAATTAAGATTTCTAGCAATCTTGGCCAACAAATGCTAAATTTGTTATCTAATACAAACAGAAGTATGGTAATGGTACATAAATAGACTAATAAAATGGAAGAGTTAGCCCAGAAATAAACCCTAGTATCATACAATTTTAAGATATGTGTAAAATCCTCAGCTCAGTAGGCAGATCTATTATTTATTAAATAATACTAGGATAAATAGTTGACTATAGGAAACAATACTATTTACTTTTTTTTTTTTTGAGGCGGAGTCTCGCTCTGTCGCCCAGGCTGGAGTGCAGTGGCCGGATCTCAGCTCACTGCAAGCTCCGCCTCCCGGGTTCCCGCCATTCTCCTGCCTCAGCCTCCCGAGTAGCTGGGACTACAGGCGCCGCCACCACACCCGGCTAATTTTTTTTGTATTTTTAGTGGAGACGGGGTTTCATTGTGTTAGCCAGGATGGTCTCGATCTCCTGACCTCGTGATCCGCCCGTCTCGGCCTCCCAAAGTGCTGGGATTACAGGCTTGAGCCACCGCGCCCGGCAATACTATTTACTTTTAAGATACCAACATAAATATTTTGTTTTAAAGAGATAAATAGTTAAAAAACATAAATATGACTGATTGTCATATTGTAGATATTTGAGCAACAGATTGGAAGAGAAAACTATAAAAATCTAAATACATTAAAATAAATTTGGTTTCTTAAAAATTTCAAGTTCACTTTGAATCTTAGAGAATGTCATTGTGCAAATTACAAAGATAAAGACAAATAGAGTGACTTGGTCTGTGATGCAAAGAAAGCATGATAATAAAACCTACAGAAGGATGACCTTTTAAAATATATACTTAAGGTTAAAATGCCCTTCTACTTAATAATATTTTTTAAAAACCAAATAAACTGAAAGGAAATGTGAGAGATTTTTCTTATAACTGCTATAGCCAAGACTTAGACTTGGGAATGGCATAGAAAGAATATTGTTAGAACAATTAAAATAGGGGGAAAGGCAAAAAGATGTTTCTCTGTTCTAGGAAGAGGATCTTGATCATACTACGTTGGCTGGTGTTTTTGACATTTTCTCAGGATTATGAGACAGGATAATTATATTCGTTTGCCAGTAAAGTTAGTTGAGGCTTGCAGAAATTTAATTACTTGCTCAAGAACTCTTTAAACCTCAATCCTAGGTTTGGACCCTTTCACTGTGATTGCAGGTGCTGGGCCTCAGAAAACAATACCCCACAATGAAAGCTTCAGAAGCAGCCTGAGACACAAAAGCTTTCCTATGACCTTGTCCTGTCCTTCTGTGTCTCAGTCCCTTTCTCCCCCAGGGCTAGCCACAGAAACTAGAATCCCTCTTCCTCAAGGCAGGTCATAGAAACTAGAACCCCTTTTCCCCAAAGCTAGTCATAAAACCTAAAAATATGACTCTTTAATTTCCCTCTGCCTTTCTGTGTAAAAAGTGGCTATAAATAAATTATTTGATCCATATTTTTTTTTTTTTACTGTAGGTCAAAAGACCTACATTCCAGAAAGGGTCTGCCCCTTACCCAGAAAGAAAAAATGCATGCTCGGAGAGGCCAAGAAGAATCTAGACAGTCCTTGCTGGATTTTCCCACTAGTCTATTGG